AAATTCTTTTATTAAAACCCGTAATTCCTATGGGTCCTACTAATATATATATATATTAAAAGCAAAATGGGTATGGATGAGTCCTCTTTCAATTCCTCTATGTTTCCGAAATGAGATGGGTACAGATGAGTCCTTTACGCTTCCAAAATGGAATCTTTCAACCCTTCTACGTCTCTAAGCTTGCACGTGTGAGCTCTAAACTTCGCCATAGATCAATATCTATCTGTCTATCTATATATATATATATATATTAAAAGTGGTCCTACCATGTCAGCATGTCTCTTCATTGAGAGAAGCTATTTATCTATTTTATCTATTTTTTTATTTTTTATTTTTTAATTTCATGTTATTTCTGAAACAACCCATGAGATGAACTTTCCTAATGACCTAAATAATCTATTCTCCTAAAATTACTCCTAAGCTACCTCCCCCACTACCCCCCGCTTTCTCCAAAATTATCTCTAATTCCTATTTATCCTCTCCCATACTTTGTATCTATATCTATCTAAAGAATTTTGGATTAAAAAATTTAATAATTATCTAAATATTATAACAAAATTATAAAATAACTTTAAAATATTTATTAAAAACACAAAAAATATTTTTATATTTTTACAAAATATATCACGAAATTATGTACTAACAATTTAAATTATATTTTTTTGGATTATCAATTTAAATGTTTTTTAAATATTTAATAATATGTAATAGCTTTAAATAAATAAAATTCAAATAACAAAAAATTTTAAAYATTKTAKAGATTAYTTMAATAKTTWAATAACTAAATATTTATCATAACTAGATTTTAAATAGTTAAAATAACGAAATTATGTAATAAATTTAAAAAGTTTCTTTAAAGTAGAAAAATAATTATAACATAATACTTAAATTAATAATAATTTAATATATTAMAAATTTAATAATGAAATTATGTAATCATAGTATAAATTATGATTTTATGGAAAATTAAATTCAATAAATAGTTAATATTTTAAAATTTAAATATTTTACATATTATTGAAGTATTTAAATAACAAAATATTTAACATAACTAGATTTTAAATAGTTAAAATAAATAAATTATGTAATAAAGTTAAAAAATAAATAAAAAGTAGAAAAATAATTTTAACATAATATTGAAATTAATAGTAATTTAATATTTTTACATAATATTGTAAATAATTAATTTCACTTATATCAAGTAATAATTCGAGAAAATAACTTTCAAAAAACTAATATTTATTAATAATAATTTTAAACTCTTAATCTATATTTATTATATAATTATATATACTAAATTTAATATTTATTGTCTTTTGTGATAAATGTATTTTCAATAAGTATGTATGAATTTATTTTGTTAAGTTTTTTAATAGAAAACTTTCAATAATTATTGGAGATTAAATTACTGTTATTGAAATTTTTAAATTTAATTTATTGTACTTATTGTATTTATTGTGTTTTTGTTACAAGTTATTGATTAATATTTAGTAGAGATTAAACTATTATTTGAGATTATACTAATTATTGACTAAGTTAATATATTTGTAGTACTTATTGTGTTTTTGTAATTTCTGTAATTATTGTAGTTTTCATTATCAATATATTTTCAATAATTATGACAGATTAAACTATTGTTATTTAATAGAGATAAGACTATTAATTTAACTGAAATTATGAGTGTTCATGAGTCGGTTCGGTGTGGTTGTAGGCTATTTGGCCAACCAAATTGACCTGATCAGGTTAGAGAGTTGGTCAGTTGAAATTGACTAACCTTTTGTGAAAATTGTCCCACTCAAGTTGTATTGGTTTGGGTCGATTTTATGCTTTGGTCAGTCTATTCGAAAGATTTAAACATAAAAATTTAATTTAATTTTAGAAATTATGGTGTGATTATTAAATAATAAATTCAAAATTAGATTTATGATACAAAACATTTTAGACTAAGAAATATGGGAAAATTCTCATTTTTTCATATTAAAAATATATATTAATATATATCAATGGTCAGGTCATTCGATTTTGGTCGATTTACAAATGGCCAAAGTGAAACTGATCCAACTTGGTCGAATTGAGAAAATTTTGAACCAAAGCCAACCTAAAATACTAGAAAACTGACCAGCTCGGGTCGAATTAATTGGGTTGGTTGGTTTTATCAGTTTGATAAATAAAACTAACTAAAATTAATTATTGTTATTTTTGTATTATAAATTTTTTATTAAAAGTAGTAAATAAAATATGAATAATTATTAATTATTTAAAAAGTTAAAAATATAAAACAATTATATACTCTTATGTGTTTCTATTAGGGTCATTTATTAGAACACACTTTTAGGGATGGCAATTTTCCCCATCCCTGACGGGACCTGACTTCCCCGACCCAATGTGGCTGGGGATGGGGATTGTTTTAGCGGGGCGGGGGCGGGGGAGGGGACAAGGATTAATAGGAATCCTGATTGAGGTCGGGGTTAGGGATGGGGATTGAGGTCCCCAACCCCGATTATATATATATATATATATGTGTGTGTGTGTGTATTAAATGCTATTTATATTAAATATACTATTATATTATTTATATTATATATATCAAAAATATTAAAACATTATTTATAATTTATAATTTTTATTTATTTTAAATAAGATTATTAAAAAAGACTATTATCTAAAAACATTTTGGGGATTCGGGTCCCCGGGTCCCCATAGGGAACCCATCCCCGTCAGGGATCAGGGATGGGGTTAATTTCAAAGTCGAGGTCGGGGCCTTATGCCCACGATTTCATTAAGGAGTGTTTGTTTTGTCCTTAGGCCCATGATTTTTTATTCCCAAAATACCCCATAACACTTTTTTTGTATAAAAAACAAAATTGAACAAATGTAGCCAATAAAGTGGTTGCCCATGTCTTATTAAGGGCAAAAATGGTATTTTCACTTTTATTTTCTTTTGATTAAATTTATTTAAATGAAAATTAGGGTCAACATTATCATTTTCCACTATCATCTAATGAAAGATTGATTAAATCCATTGCATATTATAAGTGGTGTTTTAGTAAAATGCTAACTATAGGATAGATTTTAGTAAATCCATTAACTATAATGGGTATTTTAGTGTATGACCCTTTTTATTATTTAGCTTTCTCTTAATAAATCCTGTGTATCGCACGGGTCCCAGCTAGTAAATTTATTAAGCTGAAATGTGTACGATAGAAGAAGGCTTGAGAATGCAGCAAATGGAATCTAATAGTATTTTTTGCCTTTTTTTCATATAAATTACAATAATACCCCTCTCTACTAACTCTCTCTTTTGCTTTTTTTCTTTTAAATTACAAGAATGCCACTCTCTCCTACCAACTCTCGATTTTTTCATTATTTCAAATTATAAGAATGCCACTCTCTCTCCTACCAATTCTCTTTCTTTTTCTTACAAACTACAAGAATGCCATCTCTCTCTCCCCTTATAAATTACAAGAATGCCACTATCTCTCCAATTGAGGGAGACCTTAGCTCAGCATCTTAGCTGCTAGGGGACCTATAATCAAAGGTAGTCGAGTTCGAGCCAATTTGAATCAAGCTCGAGCTAGACCACTGAGGGAGACCTCGGCTCGACACCTTGGTCACTAAGGGAGATCTCGGCTCATCACCTCAACAACTGAGGGAGACCTCAGCTCAGCACCTTGTAAACTAAGGGAGACCTTAGCTCGACACCTCGCCTACTAGGGAAACATCAGCTCGACACTTTATCAGCTAAGGGAGACTTCGATTTGGCACCTTGGCAATTGAAGAAGACCTCAGCTCGACACCTTGGTTGCTTGAGAGACTGCAATCAAAGGTAGCCGAGCTCGAACTTTCGAGCTTTTGACTCGAGCTCAAGTCTATAATTCAAATCGAGCTCAAGCCTGATAGTTTATGAGCGAGCCCCTACAACACAGGGCCCCCACTGCTATAAATATATTAAGCTAAAATGTGTAAGAACTAGGGATGAGGGAAATGGAATCTAACAATATTTTTTGCCTTTTTCATATAAATTACAAGAGTGCCACTCACTACCAACTCTCTCTCTAATGTTTTTTTTCTTTCAAATTACAAGAATGTCACTCTCTCCTACCAACTCTCTCTCTCTCCTTATAAATTACATAAATGCCACTATCTCTCCAACTGAGGGAGACCTCAGCTTGGGCATCTCAGCTGTTAGGGGACTTGCAATCAAAGGTAGTAAAGTTCGAACTGAGCCAAGCTCGAGCTAGATGACACCTCGACCACTAAGAGAGACCTCGGCTTAGCACCTTGATCATTGAGGGAGATCTCGACTCAGCACCTCAACAACTGAGGGAGACCTCAGCTCAACACATTGTCCACTAAGGGAGACCTTAGCTCAGCACCTCGCCTGTTAAGGAAACCTCAAGTCGACACTTTAGCAACTGAGAGAGACCTCGATTTGACACCTTAACAATTAAAAGAGACATCGACTCAACACCTCAACTACTCGAAAGACCTATAATCAAAGGTAATTAAACTCGAATTTCTAAACTTTTGACTAGAACCAAACTCGAACCGAAACTCAAGTCTCTAATTTAAATCACACTCAAGTTTAATAGTTTATGAACGACCCAAATAAAAAGGAGTAATTTTGTGTTCACGAGCGAATCTCAACTGTTATAAAGAAAATTAAAAGAAATAAATTATGGTTTAACGGGGACAAATTTGTCTTTATATTGTTCTTAGGTGCCTACAGTAAGCAAGAATAGGGGCGCCCAGACATGACACTATAATTTTTAATTAATGGGTTTTATCAAAAAACATTTTTAAATTAATGGTGGATTATTCTGCTTTTTCTGCAAGTAAAGTTGCTGGCATGCCGCTGTTCTTTTCCTCATGTCTCGTACATGCCCACCAAATGTCGTATGTGCATTGTCTCATGCATACATCCATGAGAATGCATTCATTTCGTCCATGCATCCATAAGGCTGTAGCCTCCTACCAAAAAATAAAGGCCGTAGCCCCATGACCCATCCTCATTTTTGACAGAGAGAGAAAGGTTGTGATTTGGCTGAGAGAGGCTGTACTTTTGCTTTTCCGCAGAGCTATCTATTTGTCAAAAAACGCCTCTGGTAGGTTAAAAAAAAAAGAGCTCTTGATTTCCCTGTGTTTTGAGAGAGAGAGAGAGGGTGTGGTCTCAGACCATCTGGCCTTTATTTGCCGTTTGCTGATAATTTTTGGTTTTCCTTTCAACTCTGTGGGTTTTGTAGGTGCAGTTATTTTAGAGAGTTCTCTCAGTTTCTTTCTGCTTATCCTCCTCAGTTTAGAACAAAGCATCTCGAGATGGGTGTCGAGGATAATATCACAGGCTCCTTGTTTCTGGTTTTCTCGAACTGGGTTTTTCGGGGTTATTGAGGGCTTCTAATGTGGGAGAGAGGAGGCTCTCTTGGAGGAGAGAGCCTACCTGAGAAAACTTGGAAGCGTTGTTTCATTGTAGGAGAGAGCCCCACGTTCTAGTGTTTGCGTTTTCCTTTCTGGGTTTGCTTTCTTTGCTACTTTTTCGATTTTTTTTTTCTGGGTTTTAGCTGTTTTTATCCTTTTGGGATGGCGCTTTCGATGCACAAGGAGTCGAAACAGCAGATGGATACGAGCAAGTATGTTCGGTATACGCCGGAGCAGGTTGAGGCATTGGAAAGGGTCTATTCAGAATGCCCGAAGCCTAGCTCCATGAGAAGGCAGCAGCTGATAAGAGAGTGTCCAATACTCGCGAACATCGAGCCTAAGCAGATCAAAGTCTGGTTTCAGAATCGGAGGTAAGAAAGAAGATGCAGAGAAGCGTAGGCAAAATGCAGACCCGGATGGTGTTTTATCCTCTGTTGTGATTTCTTTTTTCTGCTTCAATTTTTTTTTCTTCCTGTTTCGATTTTAAAGGGTTTTTAGGGAATATACATGAGACTGGGGATAACCTTTTGCTGCTATTCGTTTGTTTCTCTGTTTTTCATCTCTATCAAATGCTCTTTACTTTCCTGGGTCTCTACTCATGTCTTCTTTCCGTTAAAATGTTTTGGCATCTGTTTTTTTTCATTATTTTATCTTCTTGGCGGAAAACGGTATTAGGAAGAGAGATGGGTTTCGTTCGATTTTGTTAATGGATATTTGGTTGGTCTCATATGTTTCAATCAATGTTGCTCCTGTGTCGTTGGGGTTTTCCATTGTCATTGTTGTTTTTATTAAAAGAAAAAAGCTTTTGGTTCAGAGTATTTGTTTCTACTTATTTGTTCTTTCAACTGATTCTGATTCAGTTACGGTTTACAGATTAGGCATGGGCTTGCCATCTTTTCTTCCTTTTTCAACTTTGTTTTCTTCCCGGTTTTTCTTTCATTTTTTTTTGTTTTTTTTTTCGGTATTGTGATTCCTCTTTTCTCGTAGTCAGAAGGATTTTTGATTTGTAAGCTATTTTTATTTTATCCATTTTGGGGTTGATTGATTGAAGTAAATGAAAGACAATGAAAGTCTTTCAGAGCAGAGGGATGTACTAACTACCATAAACATTTCATTTTTTATGGAAAGTAGTCAAGTACTCTTTTTTTAATTTTCTGGTAACTTGAAGGATTATTTTTAGATGACGCAAAAAAATGAGACCATCTGAGGGGAATTAGTTTTGAAAATCATTCTTATTTGCGTACAATGACGTCTTTACTTTTATTACTTTTGAATTTGRGGATATTTCAATGAAGATTAAGGGGAAACTTATTTTCATATTCTTCTCTTCATTTATCTTTTTATTTCTGCTCCAAACAGAACTATCTTGCTTTCTATGGATTGAAGGTATCTTGGGTTTATACAGAACCGTGCTTTTTCATAGGGGCAATCTGGGTATCTATTAATACATTGTTTAGAAGAAAAGTAAAATTTTTCAGTATCTAAAGTTTTGGCTATGATGCTTCTCTTTGTCCCATCTGGTCTATTCTGTTTTTCGTTGAAGCCTTTCTTGTTCTTTCATCAATGCTTTCACTGTATTTTAATTAAAATATCTAAGTAAACCTAAAAAAAATGTCTTAACGTCCGGTTTCAAAACTATTTATCCTTCTTTTTTCATCCCCAAATAAAGGATTTGCCATGATTAATATAACTGAATGAGTTGACAGAAATAAAAAGTTATTCTATTTTTTTTTCTTCAAAATTTTCTTCACAATGAAGGTAGAAATATTTGGTTGGTCTTGCATCAATATCCATCCCAGTTTTTATCCATTTTTCATATCTTTTTGTTTCCTTTCTCCACTACCATTCCCTGCATCTTATCCTTTGCTTGTCATGAAGTGGACGCTCACTTCTATATGCAATTTTTGGAAAAAATGGGTTTTACTCTTTTGTAATTTCCACCACATTTCCCTTGTCCAGATGCCGTGAAAAGCAGAGAAAGGAAGCATCTCGGCTCCAGACAGTAAACAGGAAGCTGACTGCTATGAACAAGCTGTTGATGGAGGAAAATGACCGGCTACAGAAGCAGGTTTCACAGCTGGTGTATGAGAATGGATACATGCGCCAGCAATTGCAGACCGTAAGCTCTTTGCTGAGTGGCCGTTATGGACTAATAAAGAAGATCAAATAGCTTAACCTCTAATGTTCAACGATTCAAATGATCAATTTTTCATGACAAAATTATGGTGGTTTTCTGTATCTGCATACATATGCATGTCCTCCTGAATCTTCATTACCAATCAGCAAGTTTTTGCTACTTTGTTATGTCTGTCCGTGTTTCAGTATGCAATATTTGTATTGGCAACTACTTCTGGTTTAGATATATTGATTTTCTTGTTCGTGGTGTCTGTTGGTTGGGGTAGAGTGCATTAAATGATTTTGATTTCTGAATTTTTCCTGAGAATATATGATTTCTGAAGTTTCTATTTTGTAGCACTTGTAGTCATCTCCATTTGGTTTTTGAATTGTATGAAGTGCTCATTCACATTCAAATTGTATGTTTTCACTACATGGGTGTAGTTGTATAATATTTGTTTGTTGTACCACTGACTATTTCTAATCTTGTATTTACCTACCTTCTGGAATTCATTTTTCATTTACACTGCTAACATCTTCTTGTGCATTATAGTATTATTCTATAGGAATTTTATGTTTCGGTAAATTACTTGTACCTGCCCTGCCTTTTCAGTAAAATACCAAGGCCTCCCCTTTGGTATACCTATTAACTTGTACCTTTTGACAACAAGGGATTTGTCAGAGTGGAAAAGAATAGAATTTAGACAGAAATAGACATTTCACCAAGAAACTCTAATAAGAAAATGTTATCTTTGCCTCCAAAATATGTATTCTAAAAATGATAAAAAGGTACCCTCATTTATAAACATTAAATACAGTTTGACCATTTCTTGTATTTTTTCTTTGAACTTGTTTTCAACTTTTCATTCCCGTCATAGCACACTAGGATGGAAAAAATTTGTCCCTTCAATAAGTATAACTAATGGCTTATTGTCCATAAAATATACAAAGAAGGTGCCCAAAAAAAGGTAAAATGAACTTCGAAAAGTTTTCAATGTCATGTAAACACTTCCCATCACTAAAACTGATGCCATGTTAGTTGAGTGGTGCAACAAGTAATTTGACCCCTAAACCCCTGTGGAGGTAAAAGCTATTTACCCTTTATGTTCTCTTATATTAATATCTCACATTAGTGTTAGCTATTTATTAACTGGTATTGGGCAGTGCTTTTTTTAACTTCAGTTCTTTGCTTGGAAATATTTCATGTGTTTCTTGTGGCATCTCCGAAATCCTTGTAAACTGCATATTGGTGCTAAGCAACAAATTCCTTTTGAATGACTCCAAGATAATTGTTTTCTGCAAACTTAGAAATAGTAGTATGAAGGTATGARGGTGCAGAAGGGGCTCACATGCATTGAATTTAATACATCAGTGTACTGATTCTATTGGACCCATACTGTTTTTTTAAATAATAAATCTTATCAATTGGTTGGCAGCAACTGCAAAATCATAATGTTTTTGAATGGCATATTATCTTGTGAACCACCCTAAATTGTTGGGATCAAGGTTGAGTTGAGATATTATCCGGTGAACCTTGTGTGAACTTTTCACCATTGGCATTGTACATGCTCTATAAATGATCTGGGTTCCTTTACATGCTTCCTGCTGAGTTATCTGTGTTCTGTTTGTGAGTGGTTTATTAAGCATACTGATAGATGTTGATATCCTCTTTATTGAAGCTTCTTGAATTCAACTAACTTTAGAGACTTTGCACAGGCATCTGTAGCGACCACAGACACAAGCTGTGAGTCTGTGGTCACGAGTGGTCAGCACCATAAACAGCAAAACCCAACACCTCAGCATCCACAAAGGGATGTGAACAACCCAGCTGGGTAAATAACCCTTGAATCTCCAAGTTTCATTTCAAGAAAATTTTATGTATTCCTGGTGGTTCTTTAAAAAGTCAATAAATTCATCATCTTACTTCATTTCCTTTGGGGTTGTAGTCTTCTTGCTATAGCTGAGGAGACCCTGACAGAGTTCCTTTCCAAGGCTACAGGAACTGCTGTCGACTGGGTCCAGATGCTTGGGATGAAGGTAGACTTGAAGAAACTCTTCATTTCAATATGTTTTGTTTTGTGTTAGCTCCAATTATTCAGTTCTATGTGTTTTTTGTCTTTTGTAGCCTGGTCCGGATTCTATTGGAATCGTTGCTGTTTCCCACAATTGTAGTGGGGTTGCAGCACGAGCCTGCGGTCTCGTGAGTTTAGAACCCACAAAGGTATCTTTTTCTACTTATAAATTGTTTTTTGGCTACAATATTGTTTTGTCCGCTGTAAAAATGTATATTCATATCTTACAGGTCGCTGAAATCCTCAAAGATCGTCCATCATGGTTTCGCGATTGCCGTTGCCTTGATATCTTGACTGTGATCCCTACTGGGAATGGAGGGACCATTGAGCTCATATATATGCAGGTTTGCTTTACGTATAAATTTTTACCAGACTTGGAGAGCAATGCCATATTTCATTTATCTTCTAACTCCATGTTTTTTCTTAGACATATGCACCTACAACATTAGCATCGGCACGTGATTTTTGGACGCTGAGATATACCACTGGTTTGGAAGATGGCAGTCTTGTGGTAATTTGATCAATATGCATATAGAGACAGCTTGTTTCAGTACATGTTTTCATGTGAATTTGTCCTGTTTTTTTTTCTGGTATGAAGCACAATATTCCCTCTGTGCTGATCTGAGGAATTTATTTGTAGATCTGTGAAAGGTCCTTGACGTCTGCAACCGGTGGTCCAACTGGGCCACCTGCTCAGAACTTTGTTAGAGCTGAGATGCTTCCTAGTGGCTACCTTATACGACCTTGTGAGGGTGGCGGCTCGATTATTCACATTGTTGATCACCTCGATTTGGATGTAAGAATGAATATTGATCAAGTGACCCAGTATTTCTGATAGCCATATTTTTTTCTTTTTTAAATTCCTGTATGTTTTTGAATTCAAATTTCTTTTTGTGATTGGGATGCAGGCTTGGAGTGTTCCTGAAGTTTTGCGGCCTTTGTATGAATCTTCAAAAATTCTTGCACAGAAAATGACAATTGCTGTAAGTAGTTAATGACTAACATTGTTCCTTTTGTGTTGTTGGGTGCACTTTCTTGCACTTTATGGGCTCAAAAAATTTGGCTCTGTATGTGATGACTTTGTGAGGGATCTGTAATTAGTTAAGTCAACCAGTGTTCTACCTCAATGGAGTTTTAGTTTCAGATAACAAATTCAACCTGCCATCAACATTATATCTTGTGGCTGAGAAATCTATTTGTTAATATTGTTTTTGCTTTACTTATTTTCACAACTTAATCTTTTTGGTCAGTATTTTTTGCGACTTCTGAGATTTCTCCTTTTTTCAATAAGCAGTTTTCTCCTTGAGATTGTTGCACTGGTCAGAAAGGACTAGATTGACTGACATGAGTGAATGTCTATTATATAATGTGATGATGCATCTTTTGCAAATCTGAAAACTTTGTTATCTTTGTTATTTTGTTTGGAATCTCTAGACCAAGCTATTGATGTATGCAGGCCCTGCGGCACATAAGACAAATTGCTCAAGAAACTAGTGGAGAGATTCAGTATGGTGGGGGACGCCAACCTGCCGTGCTACGGACATTTAGTCAGAGATTGTGCAGGTAAGGACTTTGGCTAATGTGGAGTTTCATTCCTCATGCTGGTTGTTTGTGATTTTCCATTTAACTTAAATCTTCTGGAAAACTGCAATGCAGGGGGTTCAATGATGCTATTAATGGGTTTTCTGATGATGGATGGTCACTAATGGGAAGTGATGGAGTAGAAGATGTCACCATTGCCATAAACTCCACTCCAAGCAAACTTCTTGGTTGCCAAGTCAACTCATCAACAGTGTTCTCCAATTTTGGAGGTGGAGTTCTATGTGCCAAGGCTTCGATGCTGTTACAGGTACATTTCAACCAAATTTACCAATGACCTGGATTTTTATTCACCTTCCAACAGATCACTGACATGCTTGTCCCACACACACAAAAAAAAAAGAAACTTTTTGGGGTTATTGCTGTCTTGTGGTTTGATCTTAACATAATTACTTCTCTATGGATTTTTAGAATGTTCCTCCAGCATTGCTTGTTCGTTTTCTAAGAGAACACCGTTCTGAATGGGCTGACTGTGGGGTTGATGCTTACTCTGCTGCATCTCTTAAGGCTAGCCCTTGTGCTGTTCTTGGTGCAAGGCCCAGTGGTTTCCCCAGTAGCCAGGTCATCTTGCCCCTGGCCCATACTGTGGAACATGAAGAGGTAAAGCATTTTGGTGCACTCAAAATATTAGTCGACATGCTTTATTTTATTTGTTTTTGATGTTGACACATTAAGCACAGTCTCACATGATTTTGCAAGCATTTTCCTAGAAAAATAGAATTTGGGTAATGCAAATAACCATTGTTTGAGGAGGGGATACTAAGGTGATGCTTACACATTGCCCCCATCCATGAATCTCACATGGACCATTTGTGGCCCACATGATATTTCACATCAAGTCATCAACCACTGAGATTCATGTGTGGGAAATGGGCATTAGTTACATGTTTGCTTGGATGTTCCCCTTGTTTAAGTTGCATAGTGTAAAATTATATCTATTAATTATTTTGAATTTAATAATAGCATTGGGTGATGAAATGTCAACTAATGCAGTTTTTAGAGGTGATTCGGCTAGAGGGACATGGATTCCCCCAAGAAGATGCAGTTATACCACGAGATATGTATCTATTACAGGTATTGTTATTTTTCTATTTGCATCATTCTCCTTTGGTGGCCAATGGGACTCTAATGAGATAATGTAGAACTCCCTGATCTGCAGTCAAGGTTTAAATTCAATCTGCTCCATACCGGATATCTACTCCCAATTGATTCATCACCAGATATGCTTAATCATTGTTTTGTCAGAGGAATTACATCTTTCTGTGGCCTGTTACATTAGAATTTTTATCACTCGCATGTATATATTTGCTTTGTTATTCATAGGCAGTTGGATTGCATTCAATGAGCTCTATTGGTGTATTTTGACATTTTTGTCTGTTCGATTGTTGTGGCAGCTATGCAGCGGGGTTGATGAAAATGCTGCAGGTGCTTGTGCTCAGCTTGTCTTTGCACCTATTGATGAATCTTTTGCTGATGATGCTCCATTGCTACCATCGGGTTTCCGTGTTATTCCATTGGATCCTAAAACAGTTGGGTGATGTCAAGATTTAGGATTAACAACATTGTTTCTATTTTTTGCCTCTATCTCATGCTCCTTACAACTAGTTGTTTATTTATTTAATTTTCTTAATTTTGCACTCTAATGAACTATTAACTCCATAATACAGGATGGGCCTGCAACAACTAGAACACTAGACTTAGCATCTGCTCTGGAAGTTGGAGCTGGTGGAACACGCTCAGACGGTGATTCCTCATCCAACGGTTACAACCTTAGGTCGGTGTTGACAATAGCATTTCAGTTCACATATGAGAACCACTTCAGAGACAATGTTGCAGCTATGGCACGCCAATATGTAAGGAGTGTTGTGGGGTCAGTTCAACGGGTTGCTATGGCTATTGCACCTTCCCGTCTGAGTTCTCAGCTGGGACCAAAATCACTCCCTGGATCTCCTGAGGCTCTAACTTTAGCTCGTTGGATTTGCCGGAGCTACAGGTTGATCTGCAATTCTCTTTTATGTTTTAAAAATCATTTATGTTTTTTCTAGAGAGTAATAAATTTTTGGTTAGGAGATAAAAAATAGGGATGGTTCAAGTCTACATGACAGAATGAGATTCTTTAGAGCACTAAAAAAGTTGCAAGTTATCTAAATTTCTGTTTTCCTTCCAGATGATTACCTCAACTTTGTTATGTTGACTGCTCCTTTGGATATGGCTCTTTTTAGACCTGGAATTCATCCAGGAACATTTCTTAGACCATTTTTTATTGATGAAAAAGGAGAATATGAACTAGATCGGTGGCGATGCAAAGGCTACAAAAGATGTTTCTCTGTCATGAGACTGCTACATCTGCACAACAAACAAGTTGACGAGGATGCTTGTCTGGATTAGTAGCAAGATTATAAAGGACGGAATTGGAAGTAAATGCATTAGAAAGGACTCAGGAGTAGCCTCAATGAGTGATAAGATGAGGGAAAATCAACTAAAAGGTTTGATAACATGCATATACAACCAATGACTGTACCCGTGACGAACTAACTTGAGACATGTAAAAGGCTCTAAAAACTGCAGGGGAAGACCAAAGGAAATGTGGACTGAAGTTGATAATCCAAGGACTTGCAGTCTGACAGAAAAAAAATGACTCTTGATAGAGCTCAATGATGGGACAAGATTTATTCCCAAATAGTTGGAATCAAGGCTGAGTTTAGTTCAAGTTGAACTGGTAGCAGTTTACTGTATAAACTAGCACAAACTATTAACTACTTGTGATAGAGACGATTGGCCATTAGTGTTTGTTTTATGTCCTTCATTTTCTGGTTTCAAGCCAACATTAAGGGTATAGAATTTACCTTTATTGGGAGTAGTTAGTTCACATTTCTGTTGTAAGGGCCAAGAAACAGTGGGTTGTAATGTTCCAATTGCCATAGCTAGTTCTTAACGACAAGAATAGTGCAACTCAGATATTTTCTTTTTCTCCTAGTATTTCTGCCACTGCTATTAATTGCTATTCAATTTCATTTTTCAGGTTACACACTGGAGTAGATCTCCTACGAGTTGACTCCCAAGTTGGGGATTCTGTCTTGAAGCAGCTGTGGCACCACAGCGATGCAATCATGTGCTGTTCTCTCAAGACAAATGTAACAACCCTCTCTCTCTCTGCCCGTGTTGCTAAATAGCCATTCTCTTATTTTGTTTAGGGACAACTTTACCAATAAAACAAGTTAATCAAATGGTTTTAGTTGCTAACCGTGCAATTGGATTTTATTATGAAATCCATATATTGGGAGACTGACCTTCAATTGAGATGTGCTAACATGGTTGTTAAAATTATCATAGGCATCTCCTGTTTTCACCTTTGCAAATCAGGCTGGGCTTGATATGCTTGAGACTACTCTTGTGGCCCTTCAAGATATAATGCTTGACAAGATTCTCGATGAGGCTGGCAGGAAGGTGTTGTGTGCAGAATTCTCTAAGATCATGCAACAGGTGAGCTACATAGACTGTGTACAAGTATTTCAACACGGTGATTGGATATATGTCCTTGCTAGATTTTAGCACTGAATGACATAACTGGGATGAGATATGCTTTTGGATCAATGTTTAGAGTAGGATGTAGTGACATCAACTACAATGACCATAATTGCATTTTGAATCTCTGCACACTGCTCAGTTATTTCCTTTTATTTTCTTTCAATTTGATTTTGAGGGAGATGGTTTGGCTCACCCATCCCTTTGACCTAGTATTTGTTCAACCCAGTGATGTTATATTGTATTTACAATCTGATAAAATATAACATTGCTTACAAAAAAGTGATGCCATCAGAGCTTACTATTTCTGCTGCTGCAGGGCTTTGCTTGTCTTCCTGCGGGGGTTTGTATCTCCAGCATGGGAAGGACTGCTTCTTATGACCAAGCTGTTGCCTGGAAGGTGTTGAACGAGGAAGATTCCAACCACTGCCTGGCTTTTATGTTCATGAACTGGTCATTTCTTTGAAGGGCAGAGCTACAGAGTTGCTTGCTGGGTTAACTAGTTGTTTTGGGGGGCCCGAGTGGGTCCAAACTGATGACTTTATTTCTATGGTTTGTCTTGGAAGACATTCATATAGTATGACGATATCATGGCTGTATTCCGATGACACTCTTTATCGACATCAAGCTTTATTCATGTTGATATATGCTTGAGTGTTTGTTTAATGGAAGATATTCCTGTTCTCTTTTGAATCATTGTCTAGAAATCTGGTGCAAATTTGTTGTTAATGTCATATTGTTATCTTGTCTGTCTTATTTGCAGCAACTGGTCCACTCACAGTAAAGGTTTGTTGACCTGGTTGGAGGTGTGGAATTTCCTTCTGTTACAATTAATGTATTGTCCTTGCTATTTTACTAGTTGGGACATGATTTTGTCCTTGTGGCTCTTTCTATCGTTCATTGTTTACCTATTTACAGGTAACAGATAACGTGTGAACAGAACCACCCATAATGTTAACTTGGACTTGGCAGTAAATCATGGTCAGGCATTGAAGTTGTTTCTCTTATGTGAAACTAGTCAGGCTAGGAGACAAACCATGGTAAATGAAATCTGTTTGTGACAGTCCAGGTTGTGAGTAATCAGGATGCGATGGTGGGTAGGCTCTGGAAATTTGGATTTTAGAGTGTACAAGTTTCTTTAGGCTCAGTTTATTACAGTATTAATTCATATGCACATTTTTTGGTAACCCATTTGCATTGGTTTTAGAACTTTGAATGCATGGGAGTGCAAATAGGCTTGGTGTAAATTTCTTTTTATTTTGTCATATTTGACTTGTTTGTTTGTGGCAAAAATAGGAATATGAAAGAATTTAATAGGGGATTTACCAATAAAAAGTGAAAGAATATAATAGGAGGGTTATTTGATTGGGTTGTACCGAGGTAGAACTCGAGATAATGTGATGTGGTCTCCCATTAGAATTGAGGTAGAGGAAGGTGGTGCAAGAATTGTAGTTTTTGGGATACAATTTTGCAATTTGCACACCTAGTTGGTGCAAGTGTGATGATACAAATTTTATATCAGGTAGTAGTGCAAATCATGCTTTCAAAAAAATGGATGCAAGACTTTACCGTGTGCAAAATTTGTATCTGGTTTTGATTTGTGCTTCCCAATTCTCGAATTACAAGTTTGGGTTAGGGACACCATATTTATAGCTAGACCTGTTCATCGACTGGTCTTGATCTTGGCTATCAGGCTGGCCGATGAATAGGTCTATTGGTAATCTGAAGATAAAATTATGTCCCCAAAGAACCTATGTTTAAGGTTCAAATTATTGATATGTATCAGTCTATATCGGCTGATACTATCGTGTTAACGGCTTCCTGGTATGCCCCTCCAGGGGTTGTATTATGTCAGACACTGGTTCAGAGGGAGTTAGGCCTTGATCCAACCCCTCTGAACTGGTTTCGAAAAAATAAATAAAACATAATAAAAATGACTGATACAGGGTGATATGCCCTACCTATTGGCCTGTGTCAATTCTTCGAACCTTTGCCTATGTTGGCTTATGTTACTGTTTGCGCTTAGGCTGCAATTCGAGTTGAAGTTGGGATGTTTTTTGTGATTGAATATAGCCCTTCTGAACTTGTGCAATACATTTCTCTCTCTACTTAAGCTGAATAAGATAATCCAATTGTGAAGCATTCTATCCCATGGTATTAAAACCATTCTTGACCATTTGGCCTGGAAATCGGTTAGGTTGTCGGTTTTGTTTTACTGTTGGACTGTTGTTTTGCCAAAAACCGTCAAATTGGTTAATGAACTGTTGACCCAAGTGTTTGACCCGGACAACAGATTGTAGTTTAATAGCACTTATTTTTTTTTTAAATTATAATAAATTGATCAGAGAGAGAGAAAGAGAGGTCAGATCTACTGTAATCGTCGCTGTTGCCATCACAACTACAGGTCACCGTTGTTATCACCGCTGCAGGTTGTTACTGTCACCGAAACAAGTCACCATCATCTCTACCTTTTCCTCATTTATTCTTTCTTTCTTTTCTCCTTCTCTCAACGTTCTTCCTAATATTTCAATCTAAGGGTAAGATGAGACATACATGTGTTTTAATTGTTGAAACGTTTGAACTGTTTGACCCCGATGGCCGAACCACTGGCCGAGAAACCAGTGGCCAAAGCAGTTCTTTCTATGTTTGTTTTGAACACCTTTCTCCATCCATTTATTTTTCTGCTTGTGTTGAACAAATTAGTCTTCATGAAAGTACATTGTTTTAGGAAGACCAAAATTTGGTCTTTCTTTACTTGTTAATGAAAGACAAAAAAGCCATAAAGACTAGATACCTATTAATCTGATCTTGATCTTTAAAGATTAGACCCCAAAAAGCTCATTATATATATATTTTTTTCATTTAGACTGTTGAAAGATCTTCTTAAAAAGACTAATCAAACAGTACCTTATTCTTTTTTTTTTTAATCTAGAGAATATTAAGCTTTTCCCTCCTTTCTTGATACCTCTCCACGAGTTGGGATTTTCTGCCAACAAAACGCGTTTCAACCCTCTACCAACTTGATCTAATACTGCATATCTCACCATGAGACTGGGACCTACCATAAAAGTTGGACCTGTCATGTATGAAATGTGCAATGTGAGATCCTGTTGATATATAGGTCATTTTGTTGGCAGGTGATTCGGACTCTCTCAACCACTGAAACAAGGGACATGTATGGTGGGCCCCTCATCTGTCTCCAGCAGCTAATGCTCCATATGCTCTGAGATGCCCTAAAAGAAAAGGCTTTATGGCATAATGAAACAAGCCTGGCTCTTTGTCAAGGACTGAAGGGCTCAATGGTTCATATCCTCTTGTCTAATTGTAAGTCTATAGACCATTTCTCACTACCTCAACTAGTGGCTTTTCATCCTTCTCATTTGGTTAAATTAAACCAGGGTCTGAACTGGGTTTCAATGAAGAATCCCATCTATTAACAATCTCAGTTTGGATTGAAAATAAGGATGGAGAAACAATTGGAGTCTGTCCAACCAAGAATCACTTAGATGATTCTAAGAACTTTTAGAGGTCTGGGTGGCAGCGACTCCTGTTCTTAATCAGGTCAATTAATTAGTAGTCAGTAGTCAGTACTCAGCAGGGGTTCCTATAATTCCCCAGTTCTCTTTACTAGACCCAAGTTTTCCCTCCTTGCTCAGAAATTTAACCAACATGGAGGGCTAAGGGGCGCACATGGGCCTCTCATAACTCACTTGTCCCATGTCCTCGGGATCTTAACCCATCAWTGATCAATTGGTAGGGCCAATTAACAAATTTACTATTCCAAAACAGCATGTTCAGAGGAGAGGACACCTTTAAGAGTTTCACTTCTATACTCTTTGTAACTTTATAAAAGCTTAAATGGTGTTTTTGGTTATTGCATGCGAATGGGAAAATGGGAATATTTCTATTAGATTCATTTTTTTTTGGCGTTTGTTTGAATGGATGGAAAGAGAAATCATAGGACGTGGGTTTCCAAAAAGAATTGAGTTCTTCCTCTCAAACTTGCACAGCCGACCCTTACCGTTTACTTACATCTACAATGGTCGAGTCGCCGGTGTCGTTCCCGTCAATCCTTGGCTAAGGTACGACCATAAACATGACTACGATGATTGACAACTAATTTCCTACTATTTTTGAAGTAATCGGTCTCCTCATGCCGACAGGAAGAAATGGTTGTTGGCTAGAAACCATTCTTTCCAGCAGTTTAGCTTGATTTTTTTACATATGTACACACGTTTATTTTTTGTGAATTTTTACTTATAGGGTTCAAATATTCTTGCTAAATCGCGCCAAGAAAAGAGATCCTAATTATTTTCTTACAGAAAATGATGAATGTGTTTAATCTACAGATCTGCCATAAGGTTAAGACATTTGTTCACTTTTGTTCAATTTTTCTAAAGGCACATGATTCGATTGTGATAAGAACCCACTAGACGACCTGCTCTAGGAACTCTTGAATCAAGTTGTTATGCRCACCYWKRAGCTAGAAAACAAGTTGTAGTTGATCAGATTAGAACCTTAAGGAAACTAAGTCCTTAAAGAATCCAATCTTGAAGATGCCACAAAGGTTGATTACTCCCTTGATAAGTCAAGATATTGTATTCTACCAAGAACACAAGAAGACAAAGCTAAGTTTGCTGAAAATACCTCTGTATTATTGATTGATTTCGTTTTACATAGTTGTGGCCTTTATATAGGCATATAAATATCATTATCTTATAAGGAAACTCCTAACTAATGAGGATCTCTTTAATTTAGGAACACAAATTTGCCTTGAAATAGGAATCTTTCTAAAAGACTACAACTAATGACAACTAAGCATAGAAAAGTCAAAATAAACAAACAAGATAAAAGCAAGCCCAAGCCCATCAATACATCTTAGCAGGCGAATTGAGCATTTTCTTATCATGTCCATGCGCCAAGCTCATCAATACACCTTAGCATGCAAATTGGGCATTTTCTTATCATGTCCATGCGCCTTGGTCTTATGTCATGGATTCCAAACTTTGTTCTTCAAGATCTAAGTCTTGCACATAAAGATAGGTGTTTATCCTTGGTGAAGCTTTGAAAACTTATAGAACAGTCTTAGAATCTTCTAGAACAACCTCTTTGTCATGCACTTTCATGATTAAGCCTTGTAAAACTTTTTTCATCCTCTTTGTCCTTGCCCTAGTCATTGGACCACCGATTCCTTGCAAATGATCTTGAGAATATTTAGGAATATCAACTTGAACCATTTGGCTAGCACCTCGTTCTCCATTAGATTGTAAGATCGATTTATCTGTATCATTTTTAGGGATTTATTGTAGGTTATTATTTTGTTAAATACTATGTTTTATTCGGCCATTTTTTGCGAATGATTTTTCTTGATAAATAGGACTGCTTTTTTTGTGACAAATGACGTGGTATATGTGGTCTATTTTTTGAACATTGTTTGTGATAAATACATATTATCTTCAGCCATTTTTTGTGAAGTTTGTGTGATGGATAACAGGGTATATACGGGCCATGTCAGTAATATCATATTATTGCATACGTTGGTGTGAACAATGTCAAGCAATTGAAAACAACACATTGCAAAACTGAAAAATTTTCCCAGAAAACAAATGTAGGAAAATGAATCTTGAGCATATTGTTTCTTGGGAAACAAACATGGTATGTAAAGCTGAGAAAAAAAATATTTTCTTCCCATCTCAATCTTTCTCATCCCATTGTTTCTCATCTCATTCTTTCT